AAGTTGGGTCTCTGTGTGTCAGTATACAGGAAACAGAATACAAATCATCATCTTTGTTTTATGAATGTCTTTATTTACAGTGTTGGAGGCAAAGTAAGTTAAAAAAAAAAAAAAAAAAGGACAGCACCATTTGCATTGAATCTGTCACTCAGAGTTCCAATTTTGATTCGAGTCCTATAAATGATCTTGTTTTCCAATTTTTTTTTAAATTTCTACAAGGTTGCTATCAATGACAAAATATCTAAACCTCAAGTGTACATTGCATGATGTTTGACATGAGCTTTAGAAGGAAAACATTTGCTTAATGAAAAGGGAATAATAACATTCGTTTAAACTAAGCCAATTTTCATTGGCGATTTTGATTGGATTTTATCAGAATATAAAACTTGATGCTACCCTTTTGTTTTCATTTGACCGACAATGGTCCCTGTTTATGTTTGGTCTGTAAAGTGCCTGTCAAATGGAGTGATGTCTTTTTTGAAAGCATGCAGGGCCACAGAAAGTCAGTGACTCTCAGGATTGGTTAGAAATCTCCCAGTTTTGATACAGATCCTTCTCTGGGAATTATAAAGCTCAAGCTACAGACTAGGGAGATGACAGGAGGGGCTGTGTTTAGTTTCATGGAACTTACCTATTTCTGCAAGCCTGCATTATTGGAAGAAATAATACATGAATTTATATTTGTGTCAGGTTTGCAGTTGATGGGTAAGGTTCATAAAAAGGTTACTCCTAAGGAAATGTCTATCATTTCCACTCTGTTCTCTGGTGCTTTCTGTTTCTTCAAAATGCCATCCTCTGGAACAATAAATTTATTTTAGAATAATAAGTAAAATGTGATTGAACGGCCCATCTCCTGTCCTGTAATAACCATGCATTTCCTCTCTTCTAGCTCACAACAGCTGGAGGACAATTGACATTTACCATATCATATGACCTGGAGGAAGAGGAAGAAGATACAGAACGCGCACTCCAGCTTATGATTATCTTAGAGGTATAGTATGGAGAATGTCATTTCTGTTGGCTATTTTATACCCTTACGCTGTTTGAAGTCACTCTTGCTATCTTTTACCTGGCTGATCTGGTACTGATTTACATACTACTAAAGGAATATGCTTAGACAATTTCATCAAACCTATATTCTTAGAAACATGGCCATTATGTTTTAAATTTAAACTCCAAGTCTGGCATAAAAGTCTCTCTTATCATTGGAATCCAATTAATATACTTAGTCTTCTAGATTATGTCTCAGAGTGAAAAGTAAAACTGGCATAAATAAAGGAGTATTTCCAAGATATCATGTTTTCCTTTGTTGTTGTTGTTGTTGTTTGCCATTGAGTCGGCCCCGACTCATAGCGACCCCTCCTTGGGTTTCCG